CTGCCCTAATCAACTGTTCACATCTTTTAAGTGGTATCAGCACTGTTAATTAACTCAAATTTTAAGAAGTTAGGGAAGTTAAAAGCTGACATGCTTTCATTCGGTGTGCTGCTAAGCTGATTTTCATTGATTTGTGCTTGTGAATTAATCAGCCGTCCAAGCACTTAGTTATTCCATTTGCCTCTATGCTTTCTTTGCTTGTAAATGGTATCTTTGAAGTTTATTAAAAGAATGAGTCATGTTGTAGCTTCCTAAGAATTTTCCCCTTCTGTAGTTATACATTTTTCATGCTTCTCAAATCATAATCTGTATAATGAACGTGGGGATAATGTTGCTATATGGAGCTGCATTTGTACAGCTGAACTTCGAAGATATATATCCTGTTATTTGTGTGGCTGGCTGCTCTAATATAAGAATGTTTAAAATCTTTTTCAGACTTTCAGAGCCTGACTAAAAAAATTAATGTACTTCCCTGTTTTAGCACTCCCCCGACTTGTCTGCGGTTGTGCACAGTCAACCTGTTTCCACGCTGGCTCTGAGTTATGGTGCGCAGCTCTAATATCATTTGCTTGGGCAGATTAATAGATGAGGTACCTCATAAATTTACCAGTGAGAAAGTAATTGCTTCCAAATCTTGTATGGTTTCTAATTAGCATGAGTGTTCTTCTGTAGCCCTATTTAAACACACTGTGTGTTTCGCCTTGCTCTGGTTTTAAGTGTTTGCAAAGGATCTGTCTCTGTTTATTGCTGGACATGACATGTTCAGCTTTACTGTAGGTGAATTAGGTCTTGAGAGTGCAATGTCAGCTGGGACCTGGTGCCGTAAGCATAGTGTGGATGCAAATGCCACTTAAAAGAAGTAGAAGTGTTCTTCACAGAGGAAAAACATGAGAAGGCAAAACATAATCATCCACAAAATTATGTGCGCTCTGTTTTAAAGACAGGTGCTTGATGGGATTTTGTGACTGGAATAAAATAGCTCAGCCAAGGAGCAAAGGTGATGAAACCACCTAGAGAGGTACAGAGGAGTTGGGCTTTTGTCTAGAAGAAAAGCTGTTTCTTGTGAGTTTGCCCTTTTGGGTGCTGGTGGGCTTGTCACCTCTGTTGTGATACCACAGGTTGAACCAGCTGGATAAGCCTTTAATGAATTTTATCTGGAAGGAGAGAAAGAAATAAGCAAAAATACGTGTCAGCAAACCACATACTGCTGAGCTGATTTATGAGAATTTTACTAACGTAATTAAAGATGGAGCAAGTCAGTAGTGAATTTGAGGTCATGGCTAAGACTAAATCAATAATTCAGGAGGTTCAAGTGACCTTCAACCTGAGAGCAGCTGATCTCAAAGTGATGAGGCGGAATTTGGGTGGAATGGGGCGTAGGAGAACCTGGGGGGTTGCGTTTACTGACCAGCAATCGTTGCAGGGCACAGAGCTGGCTGCTGCAGGGGGTGGATATTGCAGTGACCCAGGGGACTTCAGCTTCTGTTGCAAGTAAACCACCCAAACCAGCAGTGCTTGTGTCTCAGCTCTGTGTGGGGCACAGCAGGAACACGTGTCCCACTCCGAAGCGCTCTCCTTCAGCCTGTTTGCTGTATTGGGTGGCTGGGAACTGCAGCAAGAACCCAGTATCTCTGCTGACTTAATACAACTAAATCTGAGATGAAGGTGTCTTTTGAGCAACGCCGCTTCTAAATTAGTGACTAGTATTGAGCGTGCTTCAAGAAAACGACCAGAAAAGCTGTTTTCCCCAAGACTCATGCTCCTGCCTGTCCACACTAGTGAGCTACAGAGCTCTGCAGACCGATGTGTGGTGGGAAGCTTCTCCCTGTGCTCTGCTCCAGGGATGCTCGTAGTGCTCGTCACGCCAGCCTGCACGTGCTGGGTACTTCCCACCCCACGGACTAGGGGTTTTTTTGGTACAGATACAACGTGCCAGCACTGTGTGACCTTTACTTCTGCCAAGTCAGGGGAGATCAGGAGCGATGGGGGCTCTGGGGGCGTGTGAGCAATGGTGCTGGCCTTCTGGCTGGCAGTCAGAGTTGGGTGGGAGATCTGCAATTAGTGCAAATCAATCTTACAAAAATCTTGGAAAAACATCCCTTGATGTTTCCTGAGGATATTCCCTCTGGGGCGATTACTTCAGCTCTCAGCTTCACAAAGCTCTCATGCTTCACAAAGCAGCATGAACTCTTTGTGGAATAGTAGGATTATAGAAATTCCTCAATTGTTCTGGTGGCCTTTGACCAAAACAACACAAGCTGCTTTTTAATGTCATCAAGTCAATTCTACTCATCAGTAAACAATAAGAGTTTCTCTACAGCACCAACTTAAGCCTGGATTTTCACCCTCCTTCTGCATGTGTGGAACATGCAGGCAGAGATGGACTCTCTTCCAAACAGTTCTCAGTATTTACTGAATTAACTTAAGCTAAAGATAGTAAGAATGGGATGAGTCGGAAGGAGTTTTTACAGATGCCTTTATATTTTTGGGTGTTTGCTTGTGTACTCAGCCCTGAAAAATAATCAGTGTGTTTACTGGCTGTTTGCGCTGGCTTTGCTGTGCCGATGTTATTTTTGTGTACAGCTCATGGGCCTTGATATCCAGGAGGGGCTATTGAGCAGTTTAGACAAGTGCCCCCCATCTCTATTTTTTAATTTTTTTTTTTTAATTTTTTTTTTTTTTTTGATAAGGGCCTGGGGTGCTGAGTGCCCGGCAGTTGCTGTAGCTGTCTTCTCCTGTAGGTGAGATCTGGGGGGGAGAGCAGGGAGGAACATGCTCAGTATCTTCCTTAAAATGCTGTGTCCCCCCCAACCCAGCAGGCACTTAGTGAACAGCCTGCAGACCTCAATGCGAACACAGCTGCTGATACCAAGCCAGAGAATTTAAGAATAATCTTGGACGCCGGTGACTTGCGTTTCTTTAGTTGGCTGGGGGAGGTTGGGCAGAGTTCTCCACCTGATTTCTAGCAGCACTTGACCGTGTGGTGATGCTTCGTGTTCATCCTTTCACACCGGCATCGAGGGTCTTGGTGGAACCTTGACCTGCTGGAGGTAACAGCAGAGCCAGCAGTGAACCAGCTCTCATGGCCTGCGCCGTGGTCGCCTCTAAACAGCGAGCCCATCGCCGAGCAACGGGGGTACTTCTGCATCCCAAGGAGTGAATGAAGAGCAAAGAGCAGCCACCTTCCTTTAGTCTTGAAATTTTCTTACTGTTTTGTAAGCTTTGTCCTAACTGGAAGTTGGAGGGGCAGTGCTGTTGTTGGAGTACACCAGAGGCGAAGCAGGCTGGATTAGGAAGATGAGGTTTCAGCAGTGCCATGATGCTGGCCAGGGCAGCTGACCTTCTTCCCCCACAGCTTCCCCCATGGCCCTGGGCAAATCTCCATCTCCCTTTTTTCCAGGGTGTAGAAGAAGGGTAAGAGCATGTCCCTCCCAGAGGTGTTGACCTGCCGGCTTCATTAAGGATCATTAGGTGCTTGGCTACTGCAGAAAAACATCTGAGATGAGCAGAGGATCAGAAGCAAAGCCCTATTTTTTTTTTTTTTTTTTCTGAGGGAACTCTGGTTTTGCCCCCAGTGAAGATGCTTTCGTCCCCATGGAGTTGGTTCTGGTTTAGCAGAAGTCTTAGAGAAGCGAATGGGTGGTTTGGCACTGGGCCATGCAAATTCACCATTTCTCCACTTTTTAAAGCCCAATTCCATCCCTCAGCTTTGAACCTAAAATTAGGCTGTCTTCAGAAGACCTCAGGGTTCACAGATATCTTCTGCTTTGTTCCGCTTTTTCACTATTTAATTTTTTTAGTGATTTTGCTCTTGGTACTCAATCATGCACTTCTGTGCATGCACAGAAGAGAAGGATGATTTTTACACTTGCAGATATTTTTTCCCCACTTTTCTTTAGAAGGGAAGGTGTTTTAAAAAAATAAATAACCTGCTGTTTCTCTGGGCTTAAGCTGCTGCTACCCTGCCAGCATCTGCATCTACATTTTTCTCCTAATGAGCCACATCTCTGCCAGTGCTTGGTCTGGGCACTGCTGCCTGGTGGGACTCTGCCCAGCCCATCTGTGCATGGATGCATAATGCTTTACAAGTGCCTGTTTCTTACACCAAAACCATGGGAGTATCTTAATTTATCGATAAAATGACCAGTAGTTGGGAAGAACCTTCAGATCTCAAGATCCAAACAACCGTGTGAATAAACCCAAATGTTTTACTCAAAATCTCCAATATATGTATTCATAGAGCCCCAGGTTACTGTTACCTGGATCTCATTCCATGGGCAAGACAGAAAATGGGTCTTTCCATCTTGATTGCCAAAAGGGCCTTGATCTGGGAAAGTTTCAGCAGTCGTCTGCAGTTAAAATAGGCGGGTTTAATTCTCTTGTAATTAAATTGAACGGCTGGAATGAGGGAGAGCCAGCACTGTACAGCTGGGGGAGCTTCCCTGGGCACAGCCAGGGGGGAGGACATGTAGGATGGTTTACAAGGGGCTGGAATGAGATTTGCATGGGTGGTAGAGGACAGTGGCAGAAATCACAGCCTTGGCTCAGAAGGGAGAGCGGTTCTTATCTCTGTGGCACGTAGGACAATTACAACTAGAGGTGTCACACTGACTTGTTGCATTGGTTGTTTGTGAGACTTTCTTCCAGGCGTGTCACGTTTCAAAGCCAAGTGACCTTCTTGAAGGTCCCTTGGTAGCTCAGGAGCGTGAGCATCCTCCACTTGAATGCTTTTAAAGCTACTTCCCAGGATAAAGATTAACTAGTGTTTTACTGCTGGGGAAGCCTGGACACACACTGGTTTGGTGATGTGTCACTGAGGGAGAGACCGGTTATTTCTTTTTTTTAATGCCATCTTCAAATTTGTTACTTTTCCCTAAGAAACAGTGTAAAGGGAGGACAAACCAGACCGTTTTCAGGGTTTGCTGTGGCTGGTGTGCCAGCACTGCCCTGAGCTTGTGAAGGGTTAAGCTGACAATGTCTGTTTCCATGTTTCTTCTCAGGGTGTGACGTACTGCGGTGAAAGCTCAGCCAGCAGCCTCACCATGGCCAACGTCCCCTGGCACGAGGAGGTGGTGCGCTTCGTCCAGGAGCTGGCAGACCTCGTCCCCGACTATGAAATCGCGTGCGAGCATGAACACTCAAACTGCCTCCTGATAGCTCACAAGAAGGTGAGACTGTGCCAGGGTGTGATATCGGGCACCATATCTTCTCCTTGGAAGCGTTGCACAATTGCCTTGTTCCAACACGTTTTCTCTCTAAAGTTAGCTAGATATTTTTTAGGGAAAAAAAAAGGAGGAAAAAGAAAAAAACAAAACAAAAAACAAAAACAACAACAACAACAACAACAAAAAAAAAACAAAAAAAACCAAAAAACAAAAAAACAAAACAAAACAAAAAAAAACAACAAAACCATAGCATATATCACAGAGAGCGCTGAGGAATAGTTACTGAGGCTTCTGCAGGTTGCAGCTGGTCGTGAGAACTTGCAGCACTACCATGGCAATCCAGGCAAGAAGCATTTAACAGCCCCAAGAGTTGCTCGGTGCAATATAGTGTGCTTTGCCCCACTCACTTTGCATTTTGAGAAAGGCAGGAACAAATCTTGATGTTGGTCAGCTGGCTTGTCTTGTTTCTGTTTTTTCCATGATGATTTTCAGTTGTGTATACAGCTCAGTAATGAAGCTACACCAGAATAGGTTAGAGCTTTAGTTTTTCCCTCTCCTGGATCTTTGTGATACCTGTCACAACAGTGGACCTCCTTTCTTTCAACCAGAGTTGAAATAATGTATTTATCTTCCATTGGAGAAACAATTTTATCAAAAGACATCATGTGAACGTTAACAGAGGATGGTTTCCTTTTGAAACTTGGGGCTGCCTTTCTGCAAAACTGTTTTGCAGTACAGATGAGCAGCTAGAACAATTACATGCATTCTCCATCCTAACAATGGAGAAGAGATAGCAGTGCTGTCTTCTGACACCAGTTCAGCACCCCTTATGCTACTGGAGTGCTTTTGCAGGCCAAGCATGTCTCAGCAGCCTGTGTGTGTGAAAAGTGTTTTGTCTGAAACTGGGTCCCTTTGTAAATACCATCAACATAACTTGAAATACAAGTGAAATGCCAAAAAATTTTTTTAAAAGATGCAGGATATGGAAAATGTCAAGTACAGCGTGGCTTTCTGAGCTCCGGAAAAGCTTACTAGAAAGATAATAAAAAGGTATTGTAATGTGCTAGCTAGGCAATTGATGGAGCAGCTACTTATTATGCAAACTGTGATGATTTTACCCTTTGCATATTTGCTCGTGTTGGAAGTCATGAGTGCTCTTGTGTCCCTCACTTAAACGGGAGCTGCTTCTAGTGAGTCCTGGTGCAGGACTTTCCATGTGAGGTGATTCACAGTACGCACAGGGAATAACTGGTTAAAATCGCCACTTGGAAAAGACCCAAAGTATTTTAAACCAGTGTTTGAAAACGATTAGAGTCTCATTGTTGAAAACTTCTGCACAGTTACAAAACTGTTGCTTGCTTTTGGGTTTTGCTGTTTTATGGGAACAGCTGTAAAGGAGCAGAGAAAAATGGGATACCTGGCATTATCGTTGTTTTAATTCAACTTAAAGTTGCTTTATTTACAGTCTCGGTCTTGATGGTTGCCACTGGCAACTGTGCCTGAGCAAATCCTTGAATGCAAAATTTTCTTTTCCCTTCCAAGGTGAAGGGCCCAGGAAAAGAAGGAAACAGATTGCCACCTAAGTTATTGATGCATAATTTCAGTAACACCGTTAGTAACAAGAATAAATTGATACTGGCCCAGGAGGAATTCAACAGCTGCTTTGCTTTCCAAAGTCATTAGGAGAGGGCGTCTTTTGGAAACAATCTATACTAAATAGTACTAAAATAACTAATAAAGAATAAATATAGTTCTATTACGTTTAATTCTGAATTTCAGGCTCCAGTGGAGAATAAAATTTGTCAGTGTGTATTATTTGCAGCAAAACCTGTGCTCTGGGAACAATCAAACCGTAGTGAATAATTGCAAAAACAAAGGTATCTTTAAAAAATTAAGGAGTTGCAGGAAGACGGTAATAAAAACCATTATGAAATGTGATTTATTTCACTGTCCTGCTAGGTCTGAGCTTTGAGATGTTCAAACGACGCTCGTATTAATAATTTTGAAGTCCAATATTGAAACGCCAGCCTGTATGAAAGAGTCTGGGAATGTCAGAAATAATGCATCTTGCTTGTAGCCCTTGCTCCTTGATTTATGAAGAATCATTCATTGGCACCTGCTTACTTGATGAATAACAGTTTAGGATTTAGACTCTTAAGGCCAGGGATTTAGGTAGAAAACGAGATTTTAGGTAGAGGAAACTGCAGTTTGTATGTCTGGTGTTACTTTCTATTCTCAGGAAATGGGGAGGTGATACAGAGAGAGGAGCTGTTTCATTTTGGGGATACGTCAGTGTCTTGAAAAATCTACCATTAGACTTCTGAGTCCTTTTCCACACACCTTTTTTTTTCCTGTTGACCAGAAGTGGGTTCCTGGTGTGTGAATGTCTTTCTGCAGTTACGGGTGAGGTGCTTGTGAAAGCCTTCAGGACTCAAAGGGTCTCAGGAGGTGAGATGTGTCCCCCTTAACCTCAGAGAGCTTGAAACTGTCACTCCTGCACTATCCAAGTGTCATAAACTGAAGTCTTACAGCAAAAATGTTTGGTTTTCAGTTATTCATCACAGAGTACTAAAAAAAAACAAAAAAAAACCAAAAAAAAAAAAAACCAAACACCCCCCCCCCCCAAAAAAAAAAAAAAAACCACCACACAAAACACCTGTGCCCCACTCAAAGCAACCTGAAAAACTGTTACTTACTTGTATTTCCACTTTCTTGAGCTAACTGGGTATCAGCTGCTGAAGCCTGAAGGACAAGCAGACAACCAGAGTTGAGTGCAGCCCTCCCTTGGCTTGGTCTGTGCTCCCACGAAGTGGGGAGCTCCTCTTCCTTCTCTTTTCTGCGTCTTCTCCCAGCCTTCTGCTCACCCCTGCATGCTGGTTTCCATCTCTTCTTCAGAGGTGCCCATTCTGTTTTGGCCACATCCTCTTTGATTCTTTTCTTTAGCCATAATGCTAAATTCTTGAGTAATTATATTTGCTTTGTATCAAAGCCTATAAACACCGCGATACAAAAATTCTAATTTATTACAGTGCTTTTGAACTAATTGGCTCAGATACTGATACAGCATCATCTTTATAATTTAACAGTTAATTCAAGTAACCTTTTCCAGAGAGAGGCCTTAGGCAGTTGCTTTTCCTGGGTTGTAACAGTAAGTGTATCCTTGAGATGGCCATAACAAGTGCCTAAGAAGGGGAAATGTGCTGCAGCTGCCTTGCAGCAAAGATTTTTTTTTTTTTTTTTTTTTAATGAAAGTTAGCATCTTGGTAATTTCTAGAATAAAACCCTCTGCCCTGCTTTGTTGAATTTGCTTTATGCATGCATTTACCACCCGTGCCATTGTGTTGAAACGCTTGCCTACCAATTATCTCCTATTACATCCACTGAAATTTCTGCCTCGCTTTTGCAGGTGGATTGTTTCCCAGCCACGTTCTCCCTGTTGCTTTACAGCCGTGAATTTCTTGTTAGTACAATTTGGATCATGTGCTGCTGCTCGGTCTGGTCCTTTGCGGGTCTGCTAGAACGTGTGAGGATCCTTGCCTCTTGTCTCTCAGCTAGCCATGCATAGCACAGGGAATAGTCCTGAAATCCCCACTCATTTTGCTCTCTTTGGAGGTCTCAGTTAACAGGGTGAAAATGAAGGGCTGATGGGCTCAGAAAAGTGTCATCATCCTTTTTTACCTTAATAAATGGCTGCTCCTGACTTCCACAAGCAGACCCGAGTCCGTACCCCAGGATCCACGTGTTCCCTCATGGTGACAAAGTCCCAGACCTCGTTTGGCTCACCAGTTGGATTATTTCCTTGGTGGGTGTAGTCTGGGTTAGCATTGTGTTCTCCAGCGTGGCAGGGTGAGCCTGGCATCCACAAAATGGCCCAAGGCAGGTGCTTTCAGGAAGGTCTCTGTAATCCTTTCATTTCCCATAACCAAAGTGCAGTGTGAGGGTACACAGGGTACCTCCAAGGCAGGTGTCACGGGTAGTTTGAACTGAAATGAGTTGGGGGAGATAGCCTGGCCAAAGGTACTCCTCAGTCTTCATCAACCAAGAAATCTTCCCAGCAAGGAGGGAATTGGCCTTTTCCTTCCCACTCAGTTTTCCAGCACCCATGTCTATACTGTGAGGGCTTGGGTGAGACACGAGGGCTTCGTGTGCACCCTGGATGCACTTGCAGGAGGCTTGAGAGGTTGCGTGAAAGGCATTGAAGTTGTTCCATGCTGAGCATTCCATCTATATTTAGGGAGAAAAAGGAAGCACTTAACTACCAGCTGCAGATCGACTAACAAGGGTTATATTAGAGAAGAATAGTCCATCACATTTTATTTCCTTCCTGCCTTGTTAAATCATTTGGAGAGTGGAAGCTGTCCTCGTGATCCAGCATCCCGGATCCAGAATTTGGATCATGTCCTCTGCCTACTCACCCCTCAGTTACCCTGTACCTGTGACAGCATTACTGTGCAAGGGGAAAACCAAACTTGGGTTGCAGCTTTGTGTCAGAAGGTCACCAAATAGGTGCAACATCTCCGTGTCTGCCACAGACGCAGGGGATGGAGTTACTGCCCAGCTGAGGACGAGGTATCTCAGTAGCCAAAGAGCAGCCTTAGTGCAGGCGTGAGTATGAAATATTATGTTTCCTGAAGTTTTTTTTTTCTTTCCATTGTCTCCTTCCAAATAGAAAGGTGGCTCTGCTGTGCTTGATCTGTTAGTTATTAAAAGAAGATCACAGTGGTGCTAAAGTAATCCGTTTTTCATCCATCAGAATTAAAACTGTCTGGATGTAGCCCTGACTTAATTGGGAGATGAGATGTTCTGCTCTGCGGTGGGTAGGGATTAAAAAAAAAAAATCTGCAATAATGAATCTTTTCTTTAGAATAACTCGTGCAAGATTAGATGTAATAAATAGAAGCTAACGAGTTGCAGAGGAGCAGTCCCACGGGCGTAGGGCCATACGGCGCTGGCGAGGGTCGAAGCCTGCCCAACAGTGCACGGGTCAGCCCTGGTTTGGTGTC